TCATGGGGCAAGATCTTAGTTTTGAGACTGTGTGCTATTGCGAGAGGAAAAGTAGATCAGTACGCTCTTGATCTCCCTGTATAGATATATCCTGTTCTCTTCTGCCACCCAGCTCGAGCACAGTTGGATTTCCATTCTTTCTTGGCACTTGGCCTTCTTTCCTTCCTCTAGTATTTGGATGAAGTGGTGAACAGCTTTGTTTTGCCTGTTCCTAGAAGACACTAGGTGACTTGAAGGAAAGGGATTTGATGCAGGTCTGTAAAATTGTGAGTGATGTGGACAGGGTAAATAGGGAGTCACTGTGCTCACTCATTTCTAGTACAAGAAGCAGGGGACTTCAAATGAAACTAACAGGTGTCACAAGCGAAAGAAAATGGCTCTAGACACCATGGGTAGTTAGGCTGTGGAACTTCTTGCTGCAAGATGCTGCAGGCACAGATGTTTTATTTAAGTTCAAAAAGGGACCGGACAGACTGATGGAAGAAAAATTGATTGAGGACTGTCATGTGCACAGATGAGACATCTGCCTCAGGAAGTCCGAAGTTAGACGGTGCAGGGAGCCAAGAGAGTATTCTGAGAGGAAAAAAAAATTGAGGAAATATGTCTGAGCATTTACTACACAAACAGCACAAATACTCTGTTTTTCTTCAGGAAAGTGATCCAGCTTGGTTGGGTTTATTTTTGTACCATAGCCTTAGTCTGCTGGCTGCAGCTTAGCCAAGACTGTATTAGGAAATATTTCACTCGGATGAATATGATGTTTTTCTGGTGATTCTTGTTGTCCATTGACTTTGTCTGTGTTGAGCCAGCACATTGGGATACTGCTAAGATACAAACCTTAGTTTGCCTTGGGTTCTTCCCCTTCTCTGTACCACAGACATGGAGATACACAGAGTACATCGCTGCTTTTCAGTTCCTCCAAAACTGGTCATGTAAGGCAAAGCTTCTCCTCCATCTCTTCAGCTGCACCCTAGTTATTTTTCTTATGTTGCAGGCTGTCTTCTTGGAGTCTGTTCATTCCTTGTTTACCTGAAAGCTTTTGAGTTTCAGAACAATGTTAGTCTTTAATTCAATATCTGTTTAAAAAAAAAACAACTTCATTTTTTTCTTTGTACTAATGAGCTTGCTGGTTGAAGAGGAGTCATTAACCACTTTTAGAAATCGTGCTATTTGTGGTAGCATGTTTACCACTTCAGACAGTTGCTGTTTACTGTCTTTTGCTAGGAGATGACCATGTTACTGACAGGTTCCTCATCTGCATAGCTTTCAGGGCCACAGCCAAAAGAGTCAGGCAGCGATGCCTTGGGTAATGCCTGTCGTCTTCTACTGGAACTGTAAGCCCCAGGAGATTGTGTTCTTTATCTCCACACTTCCAGTTAGGCTTCAACATCTTTTAGGCCAGGGTGGCTGAGGGAACCCATCTGAGCACTTGAGTAGTAGTCCTTAGTTTTGCATTCTCAGCAAAAGAAAAGGCAAAGGCACTAAATGCTCTTTTGCTGAAAATGCATGTCTGGTTTGAGATTTTTCACATGATGCACCTTCACTTGGTCATGTGTTCAACAACAGGTGTCTATACAGCTTTCTTTTCTGGACGTGGACGGAGACAGACAAAATGTACCATTTGACCCCCATCATCATTTTTATTTCTATGTTCTCTGTCACATTCCCTACCAGATAAGATTTGAGAGAGATGTCAGCAGTGGACACATGGTCTAGTTGGAATCCTCTTAGCAGCTGCCCTAGCCCTATGCTCCAAAGTGTAAAGTTAGAAGATATTCTATCGTTTAATCATCATGAACACGGGTTTTATCATCATGAACACGGGTTTTAAGATCCTGACTGGACTTTACCCTCCAAATAGAGACCCAGTTTCTCTGAAGAACTTCAGTCAGATCCTCATAATGAGCAAGCCATTTGAACCTGCTACTGCTTGTCAGCTGCTTTATTTATATGTGAAAAGAGTGAGTGAGCTCCATGTGTGTATGACCGTTTCCCAGCCTTTCACGTAGAAGGGGGCATTTCCTAGAATGTACCAAAAGCTTTTGCCAAAGCAAAGCTCATTTTCTTTTGCAAAACTCATGCTGCTTCAGCCACAAGTTGCATGATGTGGCATGCTTATGTCTTTTAAGACAGACACATGTGTTACATGCTCAGTGTTGGAGAGGAAAAGAGATACCAGGTATGGCTTTAACCCCTTTATTCCTGTGTGTGCAGCGTGCAGGAGGAGAGGGACCTGAGGCGTGCCACTGCAGGTAACTGCTATCGTAAAAACACTCCGACAAATAGTGCCATGGGAAGAGTACCAGCAGGATAAATGGATAAGGGCATCTTGAAGAAAACTAGTTGTTTGAGAACAGTTGTAAGTTTTCAGTATTACTGCTTTCCCTTGCAACAGCTTGTTACCATTTCTTTGGTGACGGCTACCAGCCCCACAGCTCAGCTGGTAGAAGAAATACCAGATATACAGATGCTCTCTAAATGACCGCAGTGCCATGTCCCAGGCCAACTGAAACCACCACCGCTACTTTGGGCAGTTTCAGATAAGCACACAGAAAAGAGTCTCCTCATTGATACGAGGGTGCATGAGCTCTGAGGGCGTGCTGGCAAGTAGTTAGGGGAAGCGGTGGCATCAGCTGCCACGGCTATAAATTGTCACGGTCTGTCCGTGCCTTTAGAACTCTTGTCAGGAAGCTGAGCTTATCTTAACTTTAAAAGGTTTTTATTTTATTGGTTTCTTCAGCATTTGAGAAATACTAAAATAAGGAGGGAAAAAAAATAGCTTTTTTTCAGACCCGTATCTAACTGGACCAGCACTCTAAGGCTTATTAGAGCAAAAGTGGTATATTGATGTAAAGTTAGCTATCGGAGAATGTTGATGTGATTTAAAAACAAAGTCTAAATTTGAAAATAGCAGAATTGCTAATGTGAGAAAATGGGGATAGAGAAAGATTTTCAGTACAAATCTTCACTTTGTTTCCACTTAGAAGAGAGCAGATATTGGCGTTGTGTGGTGTTGTAATGTATATTTGATTTATATTTTACAGACAAATATAAAAAAGACTTCTTGCCTTTAAGGTTTTATAATCACAGTTAGATGAAATGCATACCAAAAACAAAAAAAGAGGCATTAGTAGAATAAAATGAGCTTGTACTGGTGTGATGTTGGTAACACATTTATTTTATTTCTACAGCTTCTAGTTATTCATGAGTGGTCTGTCTGTGGTTTTACCAGGTTATGATTTGCTTACTCCAATAGCAACAAATTCTTAAATAATATTTTAAAATAGTTTATTAAAAAAGCTGACAAGAATAGAACTGCTATAGCATACAGAATAAAGTAGAACTTCTCCTGTTAAAAATTATTTTTCTTACTCTATTTTCATGTAGTTGCATAGTGTCTTTTGTAATTAGAAACTCAATTTTGACAGTCTAAGTGGTGCGAAATAGAGGATCTTTTGCATTTTCTTTCCCATAAGAACGTAACTATTAATTTAATGTTTCCGTACTGGTGTTCAGACGTGACCCTTCCATGTTTGCAGGTAGGCGGAGGTCAACATGCGAGGAAGGAAGGGATTATGAAGATGACAGATGTAACTGTGTTTGTTTGACTTCAGTACAACCTCAATGCCAGAGAGATATAGCTGCAATAAATAACATTTATTCTGACATCTGGCATAGCTTTTACCAGTAATTACCAGGCACTCTTTAATTTTCCTTTTCCATCACAATCTCATGGTGCAATTACCAAGTTGTGTTGGCAGGTGAAGGCGTATTAGTAAGGTAGAAGACAAAAGAAAAGACACAGGAGCCAGGAATAAAGTAGGGAAGGAAACTGAGACATGACGGAAGGGCACGACAGCAGGAACCCAGGGCTTGCATCCTGGATACTCATACTTATGGAGCCGATTCCAGCAGGATGTGTTCAAGTCATTTGGTCTCTTTGCTGGCCCAATTTTAGCATGCCCAAAGGGATCCCTGATATGCTGTATGAAGGCATGATGGCAAAGCTTGTTCTTTCTCAGCCAATCCTGCTGTTCTCATTTATTGATCTCTCAAGTAAACAGCACTTAGAAAGAGGTGGCCATCTCACACCATTAGAATTAACCCATTAAATTACTTTTTGGTGACTTCTGCTGTCACTGACACTTATTCCTGTTTCTAAAACGTTTGTCTTGTGTCCATTTCTGACTTCAGCAGAAGTTCTGAAAAATCCTGTGTTACTGCTTTTCTAACTGAAATGGTGCAGTTTTCATATTACAGTCTCTTGCTTCAACTTTTTTTGTGTGTTTATAAATAATTTATATACAGCTAGAGTAGAGACTCTTTACAATACACACTAGAAAGAAAAGTTCTCCTTTAGGAAAAGGAGTAAAGAGATAATACACCTTGCAAAGATGAGTGATTTAACATACATGAGATTTTCCGTGTTGTGGAGAACCAAACAGTTCATTAACTTTTCATGTATTAACATTGTCAAATGTATCTATGTGAATTGTCCAATAAGACATATGTGCTCCAAATACTATAAAAAGCAATTTCACCTCCAAAGGGCTATAAACTAAGCACTTGTAATAGTCAGACGTGCACAGAAATTGTCCGTTTTATCTCAGAGTTTGATTCCATTGCTTGTGCAACTTGGCTAACAAAACCGTTGCTGTAATTGGAGCTCAGCTCGAGGTCTTGCAATTTTCAGATGTTCTGGTTGTAGTCAATCTGAACTGTAAGTTATTTTTGTTTAAGCCTTTCTCAGACATCCAGTTAAACTGTGAATCGAGTCTTTGCTTGAGTTAATAACATCCAGGCATACGTATGTGCAGTATGGAATTTGAACATTCACAGTGGTGCATATTTCCTGGAAAAAAACGAGGACATCAGTCAAAATGATACAGCTGGGAACCTGACATCCTGAGAAACAGAATCTTACTTAAGCTGCTGTACAGGGAGCACCAAGAGTTTTTACGGTGAACCCTGGATTTTTAAGCCTGATTCGCTGCAGGGTACTAGAGACTTGATTTTTCAGGTAGCTTTCCGTTAGAAGATTTTGCAAGTACCATCATTTGCGTTTCTCCCACATCGCGTGAGCTTTCTTCATGATGTGACCTGACAGCACTTGAAATTGATACACTCACTTGTCGTCTCAGTATTTTCATTACAGTTCTTTTGTATCCTTTGCATGCAAAGAAATAGATGAAAGGATCTAGGCAGCAGTTAAAATTCATCAAAAACACGGTGTAATGGAGTGACTTCTGGAAAATTTTCTTTTCAGTGCATGAGGGGTCATTCTGAAGCTTCTTAATCATGTGTTGTATGATTGCAACATGATAAGGGGTAAAGCAGATGACGAACACTATAATTACAAATACGATTGTATTGATGGCTTTTTTGTTTATCCCTGATTTTTCAGTCAGCGGATTTTCCTTGGCTGTTTGAAAAAGCTTGCAGCTAATTTGAGAGTAACAAAATAGTATAATCCCCAGGGGAATAAGGTACCCTACTAAACAGGCAGCAAGAAGTATAAATGGTAGATGTGCTATTTTTTCAAAGTTTGGATATTCCATACATGTAGTCCTTTCTTTTTCTTCTTGGGACATGGGTTGTATAAGTAGTGGGAAAGTTTGGCTGAAAACAAGAAACCAGATAAAGACACAAATGCCCTTGGCATATTTAATCCTTCTGATCTTGTATCGGAAGGGGTGGACAACAGCGAAAAACCTGTCAATGCTCAAACATGTCATGAAGTTTACACCTGCATAGGTGTTGATATAGAAGAAGAGAGCGGTTATTCGACATAATGCTTCTCCAAATGGCCAGTGAAATCCCAGGGCGTAGTAGACTATCCTTGTAGGCAAGGCGACACAGAACAGGAGATCGGAGAAGACGAGATTTGTTGAGTAGAGGGTAGTGGAGTTGATCTTCTTTCTGTTCTTGAAAATGACAGTGAGGGCAATGGCATTTCCAAGCACCCCAAGAATTAAGATGGAGCTGTAGAAGACAGACAGCAGTATCCGGGCTATATCTTTGTGCTCATATAAGTCGCAAGTGGAACTGTTTGTCTGAGAAGCTGTGAAAGTGTCCATTTCTGTAACCACTGTTGCTGCGAGAAACTCAGTAGACCTAACATGGGAAGAAAAAAAAAAAAGTAACATTTTGTAATAAATGTAGATAAACCTCTTCTGCATAACAACAGCAGCCTCTTGCAAAAAGTAAGATTATAAAAAACCGAAATGGAACTTCATTGTGGTGTAATAGTTTTCAAGCTTCCTTCCAAAACCAACCAACCAAACAAACAAACAGATAGCTCTTTTTGGCTTTTCTGTGTTGATCCCAGTTCCTTCTCTCCTGAAAAAATCGGGCAAAGGGCAAAATAATAAACCAGGGTTGTAATGTATTTGGAAAGTGAAGTTTATAGATGGTCAGGAGGTGGGAGACTGTGTAAAGCAATCTGAGGGGAAAAAGGAGTCTGAAGAAACCACATGATAAAGGATCAGATGAAGTCCCCAAGGGTCAAACAAGCAGACAAAACCTTGTAGATGTGTTTCAGTTACTTTTGAGGGAGTTTTTGTTCCTAACAATTCATGTTGTGAGGGTTTAACTTGTTTAGAGATACGAAATTTTTTCAGACTGCGTATCATATTGGCATTATAATAATTTAGATTGTTTAATACTAGTTTTAAGAACTGGCTTTTGGAATCTAATTCAAATATTGTTACATACACAAGTACTTATGACTGCTACCTTAGCCACTCTTCAGTGGTGCTGCACAAGAGAGAGAACCCAGCTGAAATATTATACACATTGTCAATTTAGTAGATTTTAGAAATTGTGTAACCTGCACAGTCAGAAGTAGCATGGAAGAGCTGCAAAATTGCAGGGATTTGGGGCACTTAAAAATATAAAAGATGATTCAGCAGAATTTCAGAAGCAGAAAGGACCCCATCCTGTTGATACTGCTTCCAGTGCAAAATACTTCTGAAGTGTTTTGTTACCTGAGAGTTGCATAGTGTAAGCGTAAATGTCAGAAGGGACAGGGCATCTAACGTTACTCCTTGAGCAACTCTTCTGCAAAATGGTGCCTCTTAGAGGCACAGTTTATGGATTAAAACAGCAGTCAAAACAAGATTGCTTCTGCTTTAATGCAGAATATTATCTGGAGATAAAAGCTGTTGTAACCTGAGTTTTAAGTCCATCTAGTACCTTTAATTAAAATGTCTGGGTTATTTGTGAGTATCTGCCTTTCAACACACAATCTTTACAAACAGCTGTAGCCTGTAGTACCTTAAAAAAGTCTTTCTGGAAAATAGCTCTCAGTTTTAAGGCTTCTAAGCTACACGTTTTAGAAAGTATTCATAACTTTGTTAACTTGTGGAAGTATTAAAAGGTTAGGTTCTTCTTTCATGTTTTGAGGAGACTGTCCTACTTATTTCAGGTTGCTCACAGTTAATGTGCCTGCAACACAGACTGTATTACAAGCGAGTCTGATCAGACTTCTGGCTAGGTTAGCAGGGGTGCACAAGGTTCTCTGTAAACAGTAAACCTGCACATAGTTGATGATATGTATTAAAATACATAAATGAGTTATATTGCATATATTTAAGGAAGAAATTTAGCATCCAGGTAGTATATTGTTGCACAGGCAGTAGGAAAGGCAGGTAAGTGATTTCTGACTGATAGATGTACAGTGTTCTGATTCTTGGATACCTGTCAAGTATGTACCATGTGTTGAGAGGTTGGAATACTGCATTCAGGGATGGAAGTCAGATCTGAAGTGGGAGTTTTGTGGTTTGAATAAGGAGATTAAACTGCTAAGCAGCAACTCCAGGTGTAGTGGAGATTTAACAATGTCTGGACTTTTGTATTGACTAATTCTGCATCGTTCACAGTATCTTGTTTTTAATGTGTTTGGTGACTGATTAGTACAGTAGTTATTCCCCTGAGGAGAGTTATGGTATACTTTCCTCCTGTTTCATCTATTCCATTATAGAAGCATGTAGGATGGTTCTTGTTTTACGTAAGTATAACAGATTGCTTTTTGCAGAAAACAGTGTGGGTTTGTGTAGGCACCTGGATAAGAGTCAGTGAGGTATTTTGTTTTGTTTCTCTTCTTCAGATACTTCTGATTACTTGTTCACACTCACAGCATGACATCTATCTTCTACTCATCCCTTCCTTCAAATTTAGGTAAAATCAGTTCTTAAACATATGTAAGGAAGAATAATCTTAAGATTTATGATAAACAGTTCTATTGCAATAACTAGCTACAGCACATTAACTGCATAATTTTATTTTCACTGTAAAGTCGTAATCATTTTGGTTCGTAAATAATGTGCATAAATGTCAGGTCCATTAATTTGTCTTTTTATAAATGTTTGTAAAATGTAGAATGTCTGTTATGCAAACACATCTACCTATGGTTTAGGAAAAATTCCATAATTTCAGTGAGTTTTGTTTTTTTTTTACGTCAGGAGTAGGATTTCGTAAAATGCGTGTTACCTAATTTTGTGCTATGAAGTCGGACCTTTAATGTAATAAGTTAATCTAGAACTTGTTGCTCAAATGAGGATGTGCACCCTTGCATAAAACCATGGCTACCTTGAGAAGGAGTCATAGCTGAGAGAGAGTCTATGTCTATCAGTGGTGCTAGCATGGATATACATGGGGAGCCATTCCATGCCAGGACAAACTGGCCACAAACAAAATGAGGTGAAAGCTGGAGGATGACAGCTCATGGGCTTTCCAGAGCAGCATGCTCGTCAGCTAAGGTGTGCTCCTTCACGCAAGATGTCAGCAGGCTCTTCTGCCTGCTGTGGGAGTCAGCCTGAGGACAGGGGGGAGTGGTCTTTTTGATCCTCTGTTAGCCCCAAAATACTTTTACTGTTAATGTAAGGAGCACTTTTTATAATATTCTGGATGAGTATTAGTATTTTTTCTGTATGTAGGTATGTATGGGCATGGGCATTTTTGAGCAGTCCCCATGGTGTCTAGGTGCTATATTACCTGAATATATTTCACTTTTTAGAAAAATACCTGAGATACTGTATCTGGTTTGGGGCCCAAACAGATAATAAAGTTGCTACCATCTGACAACTCAACGCGCATCTCCTGAGCTATGGTAATTTCTTTGTATATTTGAGCTCTTATTGTTGTTTGATGAACTCCATTCACCTTAGCAGGTATTTCACCTTTGCTTGTCAATCTTGAACAGGGGTGTATTTAAAAAAAATGCTTTCTTCTTAAAAGGTATCTAGACTATTAAGTAAGACAAGGCTTTTTTTTTTTTTTAATCCTGTTCCTTGTGTCAGGTTGCTGTTTACTTTTTGGCAGCAGACCTTGGTGATCAGCTTATGATACATACAGAGCATATGACATCCTCCACAGAATGTATCCGAAAAAACAACAGGAGGCTCAGTTTGCATACTTGTTGTGCGTTTTGCATTCTTGGAGTGAAAATGGAGAATATTACCACCTTACTGCTGCAAACCTGAGACTAGCTGGACCTGATTCTTACTGATTTTAATGAGCTGTGTGCCTGAATACCCTATAAGGACATGGCCATTTACTGTTCTGAATTCAGATACAGTATTGAAGCTACCCTCTACCAAAATATTTGCTCTTCTAGGTTGTTGGAGTAAATACTCCTCCCCAGTGGCTTTCTGAGTTTATGAATTGTACTGTTTTGAAGTATATACTTGGAAAAAAGATAACATTAGTTCACCTTACCAATTTAATAATTTTAGAAAACATTGGCACAGTTTTTTGGGATAGAGGTACATGCAAAATTTTAAGGCATAAAGTATTTAAACTTTCCATCCTTATGTCAGTATTGTAAAGAAGATTGTTCAGGTTTTTACATTTTCTGAGTCTGCAGGCACACGATACTCAGTGACACAAACCACTTATTTAATGTGACTTCCTGTGTAATCCAGGTTATTTTATTATTTTTTTGTGTATGGATTCCAGTAACTTTTAATTTAAAGCTTGTTTTCTAAAATGCTGTTTGGTCTTGATTTGGAGAACTGAAGCGAAAGCAAACTGGGCATTTGTGCTGTAGTTTTTGGTCAGCCAGCCTCCCAGTTAAGAAATGTGGCTGTCTCTTACTTAAATTTCTCTAAAATTAATTTGCATTGCTGTATTTGTTGAGCTTTTCACCTTTATATAACCTCGTGGGTTTGGCCATTAAAGGTGGACTTCCCAAATGTCTCACCGTAAAGCAAAACAGTCCTGTGACGTCTGTTCTAACCCCAGCTTACTCCCACACAGGAGAGGGGGTTCCAGATGCCTCTTGGTATCGGTGTACCTGGAAAGATACTCACCACTGCATCCCTGCTTTTACTGCTCAGTTGATTAGGTGTCTGAAATAAAGTAACATTGCACTGGGAGCTTGTGGAGTTAGTTCACTGTGATCGCAGAGTACTTCTCAGATTCACAGAATCACAGAATGGTGGGGGTTGGAAGGGACCTCTGTGGGTCATCTAGTCCAACCCTCCTGCCGAAGCAGGGTCACCTACAGCAGGCTGCACAGGACCTCATGCAGGCAGGTCTTGAATATCTCCAGAGAAGGAGAGATTCACTGTATCCTAGAATATCTCCAGGCTAGGGGCGTGGCCATTGCTCTCTGCTTCTACCTGGGAGGACCTTACACCTGGGAGAGTTTGAAATTAATTTTAATATTGTGCCCAGGCTTGCAGTCAGTGCAGGTTGTTCTTTATTGTTCTCTCATTTGCCATTTTCAAGTCTCCGCATTGTATTTGCTTACATATATTTAATTATTAACAACATAGACTTAAGCTATGAGCCAGCAATTGCAGTGTTACAACCTTAGATTACGTGAGTTTGGACTGTGTACAAGCAGTGATACAAAGCTCTCTCTGTATGCTGAGTGAGTTTTCTTCTTGTTCTCATCTCCTGCTTTTGCTGAAGGATCACCATCTGTCTTTTCAGCAGAACAGGGGACGTGCAGAAGGTTTTAACTGTGTATTGTAATCTAATGTGTGATTTGTCTGTCTGTCTTCGTAATTTTCATTCTTTAGAGATGAATCCCTGGTCCATCTGTCCAGTAGCTAATCTAAGAGGGATAGCAATGAAATTATTGGAAAAGCGTGGCAGATTATTAGAAAGATCTCTTCTGCATCTATGCATAGTATGGTTTAGTCACTTTGAGATGGACAGTATGTCTTTAACAAACAGTATTGGGGAATAATGTTGTTTATGTATGCATAAAGAGTATAAATGATTTAAACGGAATGGTCCAGAAAGAGACTTACCTTTCCCTGCAGTGTCTGCCCTGAGGCTTTACTGAGTTTACAGTCCTCTATAGGTCTAAGCTGTGTAAGTCTGACAGAGTTTAAAAACAGTAGAAGATGGGAAATTTGCAGTGCTGTGGTTATGTAGGTTTATTTTTTTTCACTAATCTCTGAAATATGTTGTTTTCTGTTGACCGGTCGAGTTTACTGTTTGAATTTCTAATTTACCATACAAGTGATCTTCATTGTAGAGAGTTTTCTCTATTTGAGAAAAATGTTTGATTCAACTAAGTTTTGTATGTTAAAAAGGGTGCATGCTAACATGTGAAATTGCATAGCAGAGTGTTTTGTTAATATAGAAAGAACATATACCTAAGGTACGTCTATCTAGGTGTATGTATTGGCAGCTTGGGAACTACACGTGGTTTAATAAAAGCTGAGGCAAGAGACAGGCGTGTCCTAGAGCTTCCTGTTTCTAAGACTTCAGTACTCACAAGCTTCTAGTCTATTATGTTAATTTACCTTTTTTCAAAAGCTGTTGAATTTTGTGTCCTAACTGGCAGTGAATAGGCCTAATGAGCTGAAGACTGAATCCTCAGGTTGCCGCCGACAGCTGATTTTGGTGAAAGAGTTTCCAGGCTAGGACTTTTATTCTTCCTTGGTATAGACCTACATTTGTTAGAGTACTAAAGCCAAATTTGTAAGCCACACGTCATAGAATCCCAAGTATGCGTTTCATGAATGAAATTAATCTTAACGATGGCTATGAAGAATTATAATATTCTTTAAGTACTTCACAGAATTTGCAGATGCACACGCTGTGGGATTTTCATGGTTCTGCTTTTATCTGTTACTGTAGATTTTGAAAACTTGTATGACAGTTATGTATGGCGCTCAAAAATAATAGAAGCTACAGTAACCGAAATGGAAATAAAGAAGTTGAGTTGAAATGCTGTATAGCTAGTTAAAAAAAAGTGGAAGTCGTTTGAAGTGTACATGTCTCGCTCTTATCTGTTGGATCTCTCTTTCCAAATGTGATCCGTCCTATGAAAAGCATAAGATCTATCTAAAATAAATCATCTCCGCCAAAGATGCGTGTTAATCTGAAGAGGAGTGTTGATACTGAGATGATTAATCTCCCTTCAGTTTACTTGCCTAAGTATACTAAATGTAAAAAGGAGAGAGCCTAAATTACAGCAAATACAGAAAATAAAAACCTGAGCCACTGACAGTTGTATTCCTGTAAGCAGAAGAAACAAAGGGTCAGATAACAATTTGTATTTTAGTAGTAGAAAACATGCACATCTTTTATGTGATTTTTTTTTTTTTTTTCCCCCTGGGTGATATGGAACCTGTACAGGTACAGTCTTTAATTTTAGAGATTACAACTTCAGAACTCTAGCTTAAATTTATTATTCATTACACATATACATACTCCTCAATCTTTTGAACAGAAAGGGGTGAGATTTGAGCTCCTGAAGACTAGTTGCCAGGTAAGTTTTCAGCTCCCTCATCTCTTCAGGAGGGGCCATGAAAATACTAGACAGACCTCTTGTATTCTGTGCTCTAAGGTGTGCATGCCGTCTCTATTTTTTAGGATAAATGATAGTTGTTATTCTACCTTGTTTTGCCAGTATAATAGGAAAAATGGATCTTTTTTAATTGGGAAGACACATAAAAATAGTACCACTTGTAATATTTCTTTAGCTTTGTGGCATGAAGATCAGTAACAAGGAAAAAGATGTTTGGTGATTGCAATTCAGAAAAAGAATTGCTTCTAAAAACTTGGGGAAAAAATGCATGTCAGAAGGTATAAGAGGACTTAGCTTATAAAACTTTGAATTCCTAAAATACTCTGTTGCAATATTTAGACACGAGAAGAGTGACTGAGGAGCCCTTGAGCGGATAATAAAGGCTGTTTCATAGACAAGGAGCACATGTGATAGAGCCAGCTACGCGTTCACGACCATAGTACGGATTTGTTGTAAGGCTCTCCTACTATTAAAGTATTCTGCGAGGTTCAATGAGTGACTATAGTGAACTGCAGTGCTTCCTTTGCTACTTGTACAATAGTTATTTCTGCATTAGTAGAATTTAAATTACTGTTGCTAAAAAAATTGGCTAAGGTGATGCAGTATCAAATGTTTCCCTGTGATTGTCGAAAGGCAGTATTGCAAGAAAGGACTTGAAATAACTTGTTGATGCTGTGGGTCAACACATCCTTTAAATAAAAATTAACTGGTAGCATATTAATATGTCAACATAAAATACCACAGATTTTTTTCCACAAGCCTTGTCTCTCCTATGCAAAGATCATTTATCCTTCCTACCGCATGAAAATATTCAGTATAATGCAAAAAAGAATTAATCTTTCTGGAATTGTTTGCTGCTGTTCCGTGAAAAGAAAGAATTTAAAAGTTAATTCTTTTCTGTACTTACATATCTGTAGCTTCTGGGATCCTCTGAGCAGTTAAGGGCATTAGCAGGATGGCTTGACTGTGAAAGTTTACCCTTGCACATTGTTTTCAAGAGTGACTACGTGAGTCTTTTGTGGGAGGGGTAGGTTTTTTTCAAGTGCTTAAAAAAAAAAAGCCCTTGCTTGTATGCTGGTCTTGATTTGCTGCCTACTGTTTTATGGGATGTGAAAGCATCTATTTTTAATCCTTTTACAATTAGTCTGCTCAAAGAGAGTGATTAGAAACAACCCTCCCGCTTCCCCCCTGAAGTTACGCATTACTGACTTTCATAGAAGGGACTTTACCCAGCGGTTTGCTTGACTAATTGTTGACCAACTAAAACTCTTGGGTGAAAAACTTTGTTTATATGCCGTTTGCATTTAAAAATAACTTAAGTTGATTTTGTAGCAAAGAGCTGTATGATCAGTGCACGCTTTAAAACTGCTTCTTACTGATCAGATCTGACACAGCACAAGAAAACCTCAGAACTGAGGCATACTGAGATGCTGTGTAAAAACAGACGTCTCGACACTTGTGTACATTCCCAGCACTGTTTTAGTATCATAATGATGAGGCTTTACAGAAATGCCTGTTGAAAATATATGAAGGAGCTGAAGAACAGTGGTGGTTTGAGAGATTAATGAGGATGTGTGCCTTTGTAAGGTGTTTATTGCATTTTGAGTAAGGATAATAATAACAATAATCATCTAAGGTAAACACATTCAAGATAAAAAGCTTTTAAAACACAAATCTGATTCCCCTAACGTGATATTGCTGAGAATGGATGGCTAAGGAATAGGAAAGGAATGGCATGTTAGATTGTAAGGTAACCCTTTAAGTGGAATAACCTTGTTTCTGGGTAAAGAACATTGATCTAAGAGTTAAATTGTGTGTTTGTTAAGAGGGTTTTGGAGATCAGAGATAGGTGGAAAATCCTGTCGTTTGCTGTTAGACACTGTGGTTGAGAGTTACCTGGGATTTTCCCCAAAACTCATACTGATTGTTCGTGACTGCAAAGGTCTATTTATCTTTAAAATGGCCTCGTTCGGTGGCCTGATTTTAAAGAACGAGTAAGTAGGCATGATGATGCTATTTTTGGTGGGTCCAACCCATGCAAAGGGTGGAATGCCTCCTTGGAGACGTTCAAGCTGTGTTCACGGGACAAGCGTTTGCTGACATTGCAGTGTTGGAGGTGTGCAGAGATACGATCTCAACTAAAATGTCCGTCTCATCAGAAAGCCTAAAGTAAATGCAGATCTAATGACAAAGTTAAACTTTACTAAATGTACCTTGTCTCTTGGGAAATGTTCTTGCTATAGCAGAATGAAATAGAGCCTTGTGAGTTACTTCTGTGTGTGCTTGGAGCATTTAGTTGGCACTGTACATTGAGTGGTTTTTTTTTTCCTTTTTTTTATGATGAACTCCCAGTGCAGACATGGCTTGGTTCCCCTTAGATGCCAGGGAGCTGAAGGGTTCAATCTAGGGCTTTCAGCTCCTCAGTTTTTATGGGCTTTTTATCTTTCAACACCAGATTTCAGAAAGTCTTTGAGAGAACTTACTGGGCTTATTTTGGATTTTTTCCTTTCTTATTTTAAAATTATTTTTTAATTATTCAGCTTCATCACAGAGTGGACTCTCTTTCAATGACGTAATGAGAATTAAAGACTGTTTAAAGGGAAATTGCATAGGGAACTTGCTTCATATGTACACTAAGTAATACTGCAATGTGGTTCCCTGTCCAGTAACAAAAATGTGTAGTAGAAATGGGAAATTCTGAGATACACAGGAATGTAGTAGTCTTTGCTCAAGGGCTGACATTAGTACCAAAGCTTTACGTTAAAGGAAATGTTCATTTCAAAATAGTCTTACCATTGTGATATAATGCCAATAAGCGTTTCCTGCTCTGATCTGATAAAATATTGCCTTCCTTTGATTAAGATATGTTACTAGACTGTACCCTTTGCGTCACGCTGATGTATTAGCTGCCAGTCCAGCCTAGCATGATGTGATGTTAATTGCTTGAGCTAAAGGATACAGATTGCATTCTTTTACTCGCCATTTAATCTTCTAGCTATTTGTCTTCGGTTCTTACACAGCTGCTGTTTCTCCAGTATCTGTTCGACTGTCCCAGGATTTAAACATTTAAACCAAAAAATGGCATGTGTCAAAAAGTGTGATATATGTTTGGGTTTGCCATTTGTATGCAAAAGTTTACTGTTTTGCTTTTGGCATGCAAGGGGAGTAACGTGAATTAATACACTAATTTGTTACTTTCGGAGATAGTGACATCAAAGCAGTGCAGTTAATATTTTGACCAGTGTGTTATGCCTGTGATGATTTATTTTCTGTCTGCTTTCTTAGTGCCTGCTCTATCTGAGCAGTTTACAAATGGTACTGCATTTAGCTTTACAATTCCATATCTAGAGAGCTGCTACCTAAGGTAAGAAATCACTTCTGAATTAAACAGGGTGTTTATGGATCAACCAGAAAATGAATCCAGCCAGCCTGTTTCTTAACTGCAAAACTGCCTTTCCTTCCAAAACTAGCTCCTTTTGTTTTCTGGGAGACAGGTCAGGTGTCTAGAACTGTAGCTGAATCCTGTCTTGCTTTGTGGACAAACATGATTTCTGAAGTGACTTGAGTTAGAGGAACAGTAAATGATGACTCACCAGTGAGTCATGGTAACGCTGCAGAGGCCAAATAAAATGTGTTAGGTTGATCTAGATGAAGAAGAAGAAATTAAGCACCCAATCTTAGATGAACTTGGGACATTAGCATTTCAGTACAGCGGTGAACTGTACCTCCTCAAGAAAATACTCCACCGTCTAGATCACTTCAATGTTTCTTCGTGTCTCCCCACATGTCTTCTGCCTAGCTCCATTGTCTGTGCCAGACTTGGCTGAGTATGGGATTCACTGGGAGCCCCCCTGCCTTTTAGAAAGGTGCAAGCTCCTCTCTCTTGCTGAACTCAGACTCCGGTTTGGTTTATACGATCAGTCATGAAAGCAAAGCTACCTGGTAAGCTGTCACCATCAATCACTTGCTGCAGACATCTGATGCAGAGCAGCAACTGTCAGCAGGTAAGCGTGGGTAACTAACTCTGTAACACCTAGCTGACATTAATAATTTATCAGTTAAGCATAAGCAGCTGTGCCTGTGAGAGTCTACTCAATTGTGGCACAGGGTCTGGCCAGCCGTTCCTATACCACCCCCAGGGTTTCATCTGTATCTCCATACTTTGGCCTTCAGCAGCTAATGGCAGCATGCTAATTATATATTAAATAAAGGGCAGGGGCCTTGATTAAAAAACTAATAATAATCTTCATAGTGCTATAAGCTGAATAATTCTTTGATGGTCTGCAGTAATTGTTTGCTTGAGGGCAGTATCTTGTGAATGCTTTTCACAAGAAGAAATTTTATGTTGTACATTGCGGCCGCTGGTAGAATAGAAACAGTCAGGTACCGTAAGTCAGCTTTGCACAGCAAAGGTTTAGGGGAGATAGGATTAACTGATCTTTTTGGAAAAAGCTAAAGAATAATGATTACATATGTTAGCATCTTATTAACGATGAGTAAATTTAAACTGAAATTGGAAGAAAGATTCTAGCCAGCAGTAAAGGTCTGGATTAGCTCACCAATGGGAAGGGAAAGGAACTTGAAACTGGTTTGCGATGCAGCTCAGCAGTTTGCAGAAAAAATTGTTGGATAGTCTTGGCATTAAAAACTAAATCTTTTTTTAGGAGAGGTGAGGGTCTGACTTCTGGCTTCAGGAGGGGATTGTGATAAGTCCGGTTGGTCTCGTATTTTAGTAAACCTAAAGTCATAGTGATTCTGCTGAGATATCCAAGGAACCTTTCTTTTCCTCTCAAGATGCACAACTTTGAGTTTTGTCTTGGATTTTTTTTTTCCACTTTCTTCCTGCATTCCTGTGAAATTTGCAGTTAGATACATGTGTATTAGGTAACCTGCCCTAATGCTTTTGCTGGTATTGAGAGGCCTCAGGCACTGGGGTGTCGTGCTCATGTGTAGCAAAAAGGTTGGGGGGAATAGACAGTTCCTTTGAGTCCCGGGCTCCACCAGACAGAGGATCCCAACTGTGAAGGATGGTCATATTCCAGGGAGTTACCTGAGTTTAAGGAATGTTATTTGGAATATTTAATATTTTCAGAATAAAGGTCGACACCTTAAGTGTAAAATGGCAGTGTCTGGATGCCTGCAGGAATTCAGAGCACTTACTTAGTAACTGGAATTACAAGCACAGTGTTTACATGCTCTCTATTATCTGCAGCTGCTTTTGTAACTGATATTTTTAGTCCCACAAAAAATATGTGGTTGTGAATTTGTCAGGTTAATGTTTTTGTGAAGTACTTAAATGAAGAAAAATACAGCACCACAGTTAGTGAGTGTAGTGAGTCATTCTGAATAAAATAACAGGTTATTTCTGCAAGTTTAATCCCGCAGAACTTCTATTGACAACAGCAGATGTTTTGCAGAAGTAACATTTAGCTTTCTACCCATTTGTTCATACATTTTAGAACCATTTTTTCTGTATTTTGTGCATATATTTACTAATGTTAGAATGTTTTATTTTAATCTGCATTTAATATTCACTCTTTTAAACTTTAAGCAGCGTGTTTCTCTTAGGAGAAGCATTTGCTCCTGATTCTTTCTTCTCTGCCAGTAGTTTCTACATCTCTATTTTTTTCAAGGTTATTGTTTCTTCAAGTTGTTTTTTTTCTCTGTGCAAAATCAATCTCATCGCTTCATACGATGTAGAATGTTCCCATCTGGTCTGCTGTGTTTCTTTTTCACTGCATATGTTGAAATTTAACATGCTCTTTGAAATGAGGATGTAGTCATAGAGCCTGCTATTGCAGTACACCTTTGGGATGGACACGGTGTCCATGTAGAGTGTTCAAACTCTAGAAGTTAATCTTTCAGGTTTTAGAGTTTTCTGTTTAGTTTGAAAATTTTATTTTCTAACCCACATGACTGAAATTAACTTCCTAAACATGAAGTGGGCATAAACTCAGTTTAAAGGCAGCGTGTATTTGTGTCTATGGCCCTTCTTTGCACACAGACATCTCACG